AATTTAGCACTGATGGTAATTTGGAGGTAATTGGTGGTAATTTAGCGAATGGAAATATAAGAGAGTTCAGATCACAGTTTCCGCACCTCGACATAATGATGCATGGGCTAATGTCTTCTTGATCATTATTTATTAATGCACGCTAATGATATGCTAATGATATGCTAATGATATGAGGTCCAAAAGGATATCATCTATTTCTCGACCATGTGGCCTCGGTGAAAGGCTTGAATGTGCTTTCAGTTGCAAAGAAAGCTCTTATAAATCATGTTTTGTTCATATAGCTCTCCATCTGTGGTAATTTAGCACTGATGGTAATTTGGAGGTAATTGGTGGTAATTTAGCACTGATGGTGAAATATGAATAATTCCATAAATCGCTGTATTCGTCTCAAATACAAGGAAAACAACGCAAGATGAAAGTATGAAAGCATGTCAGCTTATCACGGTCAAATAAACCGATTAATATTACTCTGACATCAACTGAAGCAGAAAGCCACACTTACTCACCTCAACTTCCCGATGAACCCGTTAATTACTGGGAGCTGAGCGAATCCGGCAGTCCTTAGTGGTTCATAAAAGCGCACGAGGCTGGAGCTGTTTTCGTCAAAGATAATAATTTCCGAAATAAAGTATTAAACTGAGGATAGTGCAGAAGTTCAGCTCACTTGCGCTACCCCAACCCTGCCCACTCCCCCGCAACTGCAACCTGACCTGCTTATGCAAAGCAGCGCTTGATTGACGTGGCAGTCAGCCAATAGCCGGCCGAGCTTCCCGCTGAAAGCCCGCCTGTTAAATGGAACTATCGAATTACAGCGTCGCAGGGGCTTGCCTGTGAGCGTCGACGGTTTGGTGGGTTTTCCCAGAGTTACAGCGGGGTGCGGCGCGTTCGGTTCTGCACGTCGTACTTTAGGAATGAACCATTTCCCGCGCACTTATTTCCCGCTTTTCTGACGTGTTCCTAGACGTGTTTACGCGTCGTACTTTGCGATTGATTTTTGAAAGTGGAATCTGCTGTAATTTTGCTCTGTTGATACAACTGTGCGTTAGTCCGTAGGTGTTTTAGGAAAGGAGAGCTCCCCCCGCGTCCCGCAGGTGGTTGGACTCTGTACAGTAAAGCCATGGAGCTAGTGTGGATGTGCACGTACGAGGGATGCAGAGAGAGATGGCGCGAAAAGTCATGTTGAAAATTAGAATGGCTTTTTATTTAATTTTTTTTGTAAGCTATCAGATAAAGCTGAGGATTTTGGGTTAAATATAAAGATATTTAGAGTTATTATGCAGTTTTCCAGTACAGGGAGGGCATTGAGTTGGCGTTTAAAAATAAACGGTCGATTTAGATGTAATAAATATACATATATATGATAAATATAATTAGCTTTACCGATCATTAAAGAAAGTAGTACAAAGCTGATTAGGGAGTGGGGAAGACACGAGAGGAACACTGATCTGTATACTGATGACTGGATTGCTGTTCTCTAGATCAGTGGACCGGAAGAAACGATCTGTTCGTGCTTCTGCGTTCACTAGCCAGATTTTTACATTCTCTCGCAACAGTATTGCATTCCCCAAAGAAACTTTTCATTCGCTTGCATGTGGGAGAAAAAAATTAAATTCGATCTCTCTTTTTTGTGTGTGTGTGTGTGCGTTTTTTGTTTTTGCAAGTATGCGTTCCCTCAAGAAACTTTGCATTGGAATGTTTTTTTTCTCTCATACCTCATTATTTTCGTAACAAATGCTTGAGTGAATGTAACATTTGTCGAGGAATTCAACATTTTTGCAAGCAAATGCTACGTTACTTAAAGGGGTCATATGATGTTGCTAAAAAGAACATTATTTTGTGTATTTGAAGTATTAAACTGAGGATAGTGCAGAAGTTCAGCTCACTTGCGCTACCCCAACCCTGCCCACTCCCCCGCAACTGCAACCTGACCTGCTTATGCAAAGCAGCGCTTGATTGACGTGGCAGTCAGCCAATAGCCGGCCGAGCTTCCCGCTGAAAGCCCGCCTGTTAAATGGAACTATCGAATTACAGCGTCGCAGGGGCTTGCCTGTGAGCGTCGACGGTTTGGTGGGTTTTCCCAGAGTTACAGCGGGGTGCGGCGCGTTCGGGTCTGCACGTCGTACTTTAGGAATGAACCATTTCCCGCGCACTTATTTCCCGCTTTTCTGACGTGTTCCTAGACGTGTTTACGCGTCGTACTTTGCGATAGATTTTTGAAAGTGGAATCTGCTGTAAATTTGCTCTGTTGATACAACTGTGCGTTAGTCCGTAGGTGTTTTAGGAAAGGAGCGCTCCCCCCGCGTCCCGCAGGTGGTTGGACTCTGTACAGTAAAGCCATGGAGCTAGTGTGGATGTGCACGTACGAGGGATGCAGAGAGATGGCGCGAAAAGTCATGTTGAAAATTAGAATGGCTTTTTATTTAATTTTTTTTGTAAGCTATCAGATAAAGCTGAGGATTTTGGGTTAAATATAAAGATATTTAGAGTTATTATGCAGTTTTCCAGTACAGGGAGGGCATTGAGTTGGCGTTTAAAAATAAACGGTCGATTTAGATGTAATAAATATACATATATATGATAAATATAATTAGCTTTACCGATCATTAAAGAAAGTAGTACAAAGCTGATTAGGGAGTGGGGAAGACACGAGAGGAACACTGATCTGTATACTGATGACTGGATTGCTGTTCTCTAGATCAGTGGACCGGAAGAAACGATCTGTTCGTGCTTCTGCATTCACTAGCCAGATTTTTACATTCTCTCGCAACAGTATTGCATTCCCCAAAGAAACTTTTCATTCGCTTGCATGTGGGAGAAAAAAATTAAATTCGATCTCTCTTTTTTGTGTGTGTGTGTGTGTGTGCGTTTTTTGTTTTTGCAAGTATGCGTTCCCTCAAGAAACTTTGCATTGGAATGTTTTTTTTCTCTCATACCTCATTATTTTCGTAACAAATGCTTGAGTGAATGTAACATTTGTCGAGGAATTCAACATTTTTGCAAGCAAATGCTACGTTACTTAAAGAGGTCATATGATGCTGCTAAAAAGAACATTATTTTGTGTATTTGGTGTAATGAAATGTGTTAATGTGGTTTAAGTTTAAAAAAACACATTATTTTCCACATACTGTACATTATTGTTTCTCCTCTATGCCCCGCCTTTCTGAAACGCGTCGATTTTCATAAAGCTCATCGGTCTGAAAAGCGAGGTGTGCTGTGATTGGCCAGCTATCCAGTGCGTTGTGATTGGCCGAATACCTCAAGTGCGTGACGGAAATGTTACGCCCCTCACCATACTGTGATGCCTGCGGCAACCACATGTGACGACCCCGGGCTGGACTCCGCTTCGTCCACGGTGAAAGCCGATCCGGCGAGCGACAGCGTGAAGTTGATGTATTTCCTCAGCGACCAGCACAGATCAGCTCTAGGCATGACGAAGCGGATATCGTCCTCTTTTGGAAGACCAAACAAAGTAGTTTCGCTTTCACAACGAAACACACAGCGTCTTCACGACATGGCGTGACAACAATACTACAGCGAGAATAAAAGTTACGCCTTCTTTCTTTACGTGAGCATTTGGGTGGTGTTATGCAAATCTTCCCACATAGTGAGGTAGACGTGTGGGGGCGTGTTAGAACGAGCAGTTTTTGGTCGGCGTGGCTGACTCTTAACTTTTATAAAGAATATCTCTTTGGATTTGAGACTTTAGTCTTTGCAACTTTACAGATCTTCTTTATGCACCAAGAGCTTGTAACACTCCAAAGAGAAAGGAAAGATTGAAATCGCATCATATGACCACTTTAATGGAACAATTGTTTTGCGAGAGAACGTGAACGTTTTGTGCGAGAATGGAAAAGTTTTGTGAGCGAAAGCAAAATTTCTCAGAAGTAGCCTACGCAAAACTTTTGCTGGGGAATTCAGTCGTTTTGTGAGAGAAAGCTAAAGTTTTGCGAGTGATGTGCGAGCGAGAGCGCAAAGCTTCTCAGGTGAATACAGTACAACATTTCTTGAGGAAGCATAATACTTTTGAGACGGGATGCAAAAGTTTTGCGATCAAATGCCGTGTTTCTCAGTGGAACGCAATATTTTTGAGAGAACGCAAAACTTTTGCAAGTTAACACAAAGTTTCACGTGGAAACACAATACATTTTTGCAAGTGAATGCAAAGCTTTTTGGGGAAACGCAAACGTTTTGGTGCAAGAATGCTAAAGTTTTGCGAGCGAACGCAAAGTTCCTTGTTTGAAAGCAACACTTCTGCAAGAGAACACAAAAACTTTACAAGTGAACGCAAAGTTTCTCAGGGGAATGCAAATGTTTTAAGAGAAAATGCAAATGTTTTGCAAGCGTATGCAAAAGATTTGCGAGAAAACTTCAAATGTTTTATGAGCGAATGCAAAGCTTCTTGAGGGAACGCAAAAGCATTTCAATGTAATGTTTCATCTCACCGTGTCCCATTCGGGCCTGGACCAGTCAATTGTTGTGAATTAGACTAATTTAGATCAGTTTTCATGCTCACACTGCTCATCTAAATAAATTATTTAATACTGTGATTAAAATGAGTGAATAATTTAATAGGGACAACAGCCCTATCAGAATTTACCAGTCGATTTAGAAAACGCATGTTGACCAGCAGGCGAAAAACAATATAGTTTAAATATATAAACAATATTTTATGAAATCATCGTGAATGCTAGTGAATTAAGCAAAAAAATAAATAAAAATAAATAACCAAAATGTAAACAGAATACCTGAAGAATGGTGGAAAGGGCTGTGTTTGTGTCACTATGGTCTTCAACAGCTGAAAGTTAGTTCATGAATATTAATCTAGGCATGCTAAATTTGCTTGGTAACCTTGCTCATTAATATTCATAAGCCCAAACCTTTACCCAAGTAGGCTTCGAATCTGTCAGCTGACCAGCGCCCACTTTCGGCCAATCGTAGAAAGCCTATTGGGCGGACCTCCCCGTCATCTAATTAATATTCATGAGCAGCTCCTTCCCGTCTGCGCCGGCAGAGCCGAAGACTAACGCCGTGTGGACTTCAAAACACAAATAATGTCTTACACAACCTCGCAGGGTAGGTGCAAATACTCCAAATTATAACTTCCCCGGTGATTTCAGTAAATGAGACAATTACCTCCTTTAAAAACTGCTTTATACTTCCTGGATGTGAAATTTAACAAAAATAGCTGATGAGTTAAATTTAGACTGAGGGCAAGAAACACAGCTAGCGTGTTAGCTTTAGCTCTAGCGCTCAATGCCCAGTTTCACAACATAAACTGACTTGGCTTTTTGCCGTGCTTATTTTTCATGTTTGCAATCCACCTCATTATAGCCTTCCTGGAGTGTGTAGTTTAAGTGAAGTATGGCAGTGTTTTTATCAGCTGGCTTGGTGTTAGCCGTTAGCATCAAGTCAGTAACATTGTTTCGTATAAATAAAGCATTGAGGGTCATGTGCGTTGAGCCATTTGTACCAAACTGTACAAAATTAAGACATTTATGAGGACATTTTAACGTGTCGTGCTAAAAAAAACATGATCTAAGGCATTAGTTTGTGATGGTGTGTCTATTGAAATTTGGCAATTTGATGTAGCAGGTGTTTTGCTGTATTATATCTATGATATGTTAAGATAAAGCTTCGATTATTAGGTTAATCTGCTGTATTAATGCTGTTAGGCATGGTATTTAAATGTTGGTCACATTTGGAGTGCATGTTGACCTTGTCTAATGCAGGTTGTTCAGTGCTGAGATCTATCTAGAGCAGACCAGAGCGTAACCATGGATGAGGAGGACAGCCAGGATGAGCTGATCAACAGGAACGTCTCCCACAGAAAAGGAAAAAGACCTGCCATGTCCATCATCTCTGATGACGGTTTGTAATCTTGCATCAATAAATGGAGCAACACAGGAAGTGTTGTATGCCCTAAATGATCTCTATCCATCCTGGAAAGCCTGATACATGAAATAATAGTCAGAAAAAATCGTATTTTAAGAAACAACAGTTTAAAGGGGTCATATGATGCTTGTTTTAAAGATCATTATTTGGTGTAACAGAATATGTTGACATGCTTTAATGTTCAAAAAACACATTATTTTTCAAATACTGTACATTATTGTAGGTCCTCTATGCCCCGCCTCTCTCAAACGCTTAGTTTTCTACAAAGTCCCGCCTTCCGACAAGCGCAGTCTGCTCTGATTGGCCAGCTGACCCAGTGCATTGTGATTGGCCAAACACCGCAAGCACTCGTCGGAAATGTAACGCCCCTTACCATAATCGCGAGCTTCATCTTTCAAAATAAATGTAAAGACAGAGCCCGAAAGGGGAACAGAGTCGCGTGACAGACACAGTGATGAAGCTGGTATGTGTTTGCAGTACACAAGCCACGGTTAAGACAGCTGACTCCACTGTGATGTGTGTCTCGCTCTCTCTCTCTCTCTCTCTCTCGCTCGCTCGCTCGCGCACACACCTGTGTTCTGTTGTAAGTGATCTTAAAGATTCCTAAATGCATCTACTTCTGGAAGGCCAAAATAAAGTGCTTTTGCTTTCGCCTAGAAACACACAGCGTCTCCCTGACATGCTGCTTCAACACTAACTGCGGTTACTGAAACCACGGTTTCTTTCTTTGCATGCACATTTGTGCACATTATGCAAATATTTCCACACAGTGAGGTAGACATGTGGGGCGTGTTAGAACGAGCCGTTTTAGCCGTTTTTTATTTATCTTAACTTTGATAAATAATATCTTTGGTTTTGAGACTTTAGTCTTTGCAACTTCAGGGATCTTATCTATGCACAATCAGCTTGTATCACTCCAAAGAGAAAGGAAAACTTGAAATCGCATCATATGACCCCTTTAAGACAAATTTAAAAATAAATAAATAAAGTTTGCATATGTTTTTGTATCATATTTGATACATAAAGCTTTTATGGCTGATATAATATGATACAATGTCACTAATAATATCAGAGTTATTCCTACATTTATTTTATAAAAATCAGTAAAGATTTCACAGCAAAAAGCTAGATGTTTGCGCAGTTTTTACTTGCTAAACTTTAACTGTTTTTAAACATGTTTCTTTTTGATACAGGCTTTATGCTGATGAGAGGCCTTAGAAATCTGTGTATGAGATATGATACAGTCAGGATTGCATTTAATAAATACATATTTTTATTCTGTTTTCTATTGTATTTTTAATGACTTCTCTTCCTGGATGTCACTGAAATTCAGAGGACAACTCCGCAGATGAGGGGGAATCGGAGGAAGGAGAAACAGGCAGCGAGGAAGATGATGACAACCAAGAGGAAGTGCTTGATGAAGACGAGGAGGAAGAAGATGAGGATGAAAGTGAAGGTAAGATTTAACTTCAACATGACTTTTTATTGACATCTTTATTGTTGTCAATTTTAGTTGATTATATGAACATTTTTATATTTTAAAAGTTTTTTGACTTCTAAATAAACCATTTGAATTAGCTATTTAATGATTTAAACGTCTGGCAG